CTTTGTCTTGTGGAGAAATGGGGAGCAACCAGGGGTGGACTGACAACTCATGGGGCCCCCGGGCAATAGGGGATCATGGGGCCCCTGTGTCCTTGCCCAAACTCAAATGCAATTTGAGTGTTTGCAGTTGCTATTATTATGCCTTGACAAAGAATATCTGCTATGCCCTTGAATCATAAATCATTTAACTGTATCTTGGTGTTCTGGCCTTCATGGTGAGTCTTTGGTGGCAACACCACTGGTTGTACACATTGGAAGTTTGGAGTCAAGAGGTTTGTGTGTGAGATGGATAAATCTTTAATTGCTGCTGGTGGGGCACCACAAGCTGTGGTGTGTCAATGCATTTTCATTATTTGCCTCTTTATCTTGTTTGTGCTCTTTGCTATGAAAAGCAGAAGGATATAATGTTCAGTAGGGTGAGCTAATGCATAGCTATAGTTCATCAAAACTGTGATAAAGGGTGAACACTACAGAAAGCAGTGTAAATTACATAATTAGATTAACCCACATTCCATAGAATGCAAACGGTGTTAAATTGCACTAAGCACTGTACCTTTTCAAATTTTCCTACAGTCTGTACACAGATACATTTAGCCTTTATTTAAAGCACATTGTAAGGCAGGTTTAAAAAACACTTCCAACATAGAAATCCCAGAATAACAGTCTCTTTTAAATTAAAGTGTATGTCCAGCCCATAATTCTTATCCTGTTGACTATGTTTTACCAGTCAGGTTGGGCGGGAAACTCTCCAACAGCAAAGCAGACCAAAAAATACTACTACGGCAATGCCATAACCACTGTCAAATTTGTATTGCTGTATATGTCCCAGTTGCAGATTTCCTGATACAGTTGTCACTAAGACAGGAAGAAAAAGTTAATCCCTCTAACCAAGCCTTGGATATCAGTAAAAAAAAAGATGACAGGAGCTTTAAATCATCCCATTAACACTAGAAATAGTAATCTTGGCTTTAAATACACATTAAAGGTCAACTTCACAATAAGAAACCACCTATTGCCTGATTTAGTTTAGGTTACGTAGTTTTGATTCAGTACTTTTTGATTGCCTGAATGTCTAAATATAGATCTGACTGATATGTTAAGAATTAGGTATTTAAGGATCCAGGAAATCATTATTCACACAATGCAGGAATCTGAAAGAAATAGAAAAAATATCTAAACTAGAGGACTCTGGATACATATATTATATTTCCAAAAGTATTGGGATGCCTGCCTTTACAAACACATGAACTTTAATGGAATCCCAGTCTTAGTCCGTAGGGTTTAACATTGAGCTGGCCCACCCTTTGCTGATAAAACAGATTTAACTCTTTTGGGAAGACCGTCTACAAGGTTTAGGAGTGTGTCTATGGGAATGTTTGACCATTCTTCCAGAAGCGCATTTGTGAGGTCAGGCACTGATGTTGAATGAGAAGGCTCTGGTCTCTGCTATAATTCATTCCATAGGTGTTCTATTAGGTTGAGGTCAGGACTTTATGGACCTTGCTTTGTGCACTGGTGCGCAGTCATGTTGAAACAGGAAGGGGCCATCCCCAAACTGTTCCCATAAAAGTGAGAGCATTAAATTGTCCAAAATGTCTTGGTATGCTGACACCTTAATAGTTCACTTCACTGGAACTAAGGGGCCAAGCCCAATCCCTGAAAAATGACACCATAATCCCTCCTCTACCAAACTTTACACTTGGCACAATGTAGTCAGGCAAGTACTGTTCTCCTGGCAACTGCCAAACCCAGAAATGTCCATCGGATTGCCAGACAGAGAAGCGTGATTCATCACTCCAGAGAACATGTCTTCACTGCTCTAGAGTCCAGTGCTGTTGTGCTTTCGTCTCTTTGCATTGCATTTGTTGATGCAAAGCTTGGATGCAGCTGTTCAGCCATGGAAACCCATTCCATGAAGCTCTCTATGCACTGTTGTTGTGCTAATCTAAAGGCCACACAAAGTTTGGAGGTCTTTAGCTATTGACTCTGCAGACAGTTGGTAACTTCTGTGCACTGTGCACTGCAGCATGTGCTGACCCCGCTGTGTCATTTTATGTGGCCTACCACTTCATGCTGAGTTGCTGTTGTTTCCAGTTGCTTCCACTTTATTATAATATCAGTAACAGTTGACCGTGGAATATTTAATAGCAAGGAAATTTCACGGGTGGACTTATCGCACAGGTGGCAACCTATCATGGTACCACGCTTCAATACACTGAGCTCCTGAGAGCGACTCATTCTTTCACAAATGTTTATAGAAACAGACTGCATGCCTAGGTGATTGATTTTATTCCTGTGGCCATGGAGGTGATTGGAACACCAGAATCCAATGATACGGAGGGGTGTCACAATGTTTTTGGCAATATAGTGTATATTCAGATGCATCAAAAGTGTGCAAATCACTAATTTATTCAATTGTTTAGTTTCATACAGTCACATTATATCCCATATGTGGGTTTCTGACCAGCGGTGTTCTGTACCTTTTCTCCAATGCTGGACATTTCTCAGTGATGCAGAGAATGGAACTGAAATAATACCATCATCACTACTCTTTGCAGCATTGTATTTTGAGTACAGGCTGCTGTGATGATTCATTTATAAGACTGGGTACACACGGGCATAAAATTATTCATCATTGGTAGGATCGGCAGGAACCATCCAACTTTTGGCCCATGTGTACAGCTGTCTGCTGTAAAGAAGCTGGTCTTTGGACCAGCATCTGTCAAAGAAGCATCTGATCAGTGCTAGAAACCAATGGGGCAGAACAGAAAGGTACAGCAGGGGAGATTGCCTCACTAACATTGCTTTTGTTGTTTGGGCAAACTCAATGTTTTTTTTTTTGTTCAGCCCACTGGGTTGAACAAAAAAAACATATAGTGTGTACCCCACATTTGGGATGAAATGTCCTCAGCTAAAAGGAAATGGACCAGGTGAACATGCTGCAAACCAAATGAGCTTTCTGTGACAGTGCTAGGGAGAAAAAAAAGTATTAGATTAAAATCTGATTGATTGTTTGAGAGATTCATGTATGTATATATTTGTTTTATACAGTAACTGGGCTCTTTAAAGTATTTTTTAAAGAAATTCAGACATTCATAGATGTCTGATTTAAGGAAACATCCCCAAAATCCTAAAAAAAAACCCTTCACCATCTCAGTAGTGAATGGGTATATAGAAAGCAGCTTTTATTTACAAAAAAATCAGCTGTGGCAACAACCAAATTAATTCTGAAAATACATCACATTAATATGAGCAGAAAGCAACTCACTGCTGTCACAAATGTGACAAATGAAAACAAAAGTTAAGTATGTTAATATATTGCACAAGCTATATGGAGAGTGCTAAAAAAGAACAGCAAAATGCACAAGAGAACAAGGAAATGAGTGTATCATGTGACTCAGCAAGGATTCGCTCATGAAGGTTGCATTCTCTTTATGAAGGTACCAAGCAGAAAACCTCAAACTATTAATTTTCTTCACTCAGCAACCATAAATCTGTGTGTCTGTGTGCTAAAAAAAATGCTGATTTTTCAGACTCCAGAAGCAGCCTTTTATTTTGTAATGAGAAATGATATCTGGATAAGTGAAGTGGGGAGATGTGGAATGCATATTGACTTAGCTTGGTTATTGTAACATTTCCACTTCTAATCCCTTCAAAATTAAACACATTAAAGGCTAATAAAAAGGCTTTCTAAAGGTGTGCCTGATCACTGGTGGGGTCTTGCTTTTCACCGAAAGTTAAAGTCATTGCTGATGTCTTAGCCTTCATATTTTCATAAACCAAATATTTTCCTTGATAAAATGACATGTGCATTGACACTGAAATTTGCACCAGTCAGCTGAAGGGAAAATACATGTAGTTTTAACCACAAGTTACATGTCTGAATAGTATTGTATAATTATAACTTATCCTATAACTGCCTCTTGGAAAACTTAACATTCACAGTCAATAGTAATATCCTGAAATGTCAGTTTGAGCATTTAATCCAAGGCAAACAAACATTTGATCAGAATGTATCTAATCTAGGGCTACCAGAGCTCTATGTTAAGTATACACAGGTAGCTCTTTCACCATCTCCCTATTAAAATCAGTTCCCAGTCAAAATATTTCAAATCTACTAGAACAAAGAGAGTGTTCAACTTTCAATCCAGTTGTTTTATATACATATAGTCCTGTAAAACAGTATTTGCCCCTTTCCTGATTTTTTTTTTGCATATTTGTTACACTTAATAGATTCAGATCATCAAACAAATTTTAATATTACACAAAGATAAGCAGAGAAAATACAAAATGTTGTTTTAAAATGATGATTTTATTTTATTTTATTTTATTAAGGGAAAAAAGCTAACTAAACCTGCCTGGACCTATGTGAAAAAGTATTTGCCCCCCTAAACCTGGTTGTGCCACACTTGGCAGCAACAACACTGCAAACATTTGCGATAACTGGCACTGATGAGTCTTTACCATCGATGTGGAGGAATTCTGTCCACTGTTCTTTACAGAATTATTTTAATTCAGCCACATTGGAGGATTTTGAAGCATAAATGGTCTGATTAACCACTTGCCTACAGGGCACTTACACCCCCTTCCTGCACAGGCCAGTTTTCAGCTTTTAGTGCTATAGCAATTTGAATGACAATTGCGCGGTCATGCAACACTGTTCCCATATGAAATTTTTATAATTTTTTTTGAGACAGATAGAGCTTTCTTTTGGTGGTATTTAATCACCTCTGGGTTTTTTATTTTTTGCTAAACAGATGAAAAACAACTGCAAATTTTGAAAAAAAAAAAAATTTTTCTTAGTTTTTGTTATAACAATTTTGTAAATAAGTGATTTTTCTCCTTCACTGATGTGCGCTAATGAGGCTGCACTGATGGGCACTGATAGATTGCACTGATGGGCACTGATTGGCACTGATGAGGAGGCACTAGTAGGTGGCACTGATGGGCATTGACAGGCATCACTGATGGGCACTGAAAGGCAGCACTCATATACGGCACTGATAGGCGGCACTGATAGGTGGCACTGATAGGTGGCACTGATAGGCAGCACTGACTGTCACCAATATGCAGCACTGACTGGCACTGTTAGGTGGCACTGACTGGCACTGTTAGGCAGCACTGATAGGCAGCACTTACATGCACTGATAGACGGCACTGACTGACACTGATTGGTGGCACTGACTGACACTGATAGGTGACATTGAAAGGCAGCTCAGATGGGCACTTATATGTGGCATTGATGTGCACTGGTAGGCACTGATATGTGCCATTGATGTGGCACTTATGGGCACTGGCGGGTGGCATTGATGAGCACTGACAGCTGGCATTGATGAGCACTGACAAGTGGCACTGCTGGGGCTACCCTGGTCATCAGGGCACACTGAACATCAGTGATCAGTGTAAATGACCCCTCTGATGAATGCTGATTACTGGCTCTCCTCTCCTCTCGAGCTGTCAGCGTGACAGCTTGTGAGGAGAGAAATGCCGATAACTGGCATTTCCCTATTTACATGCAATCAGCTGTGATTGGACACAGCTGATCACATGACCGAGCCGACATCTTTGGCTCTTTCCATTCATTGGTGATCCGCTGTGTCCGAGGGGCACAGTGCACCTCTTATCACCGTACTGCGTGCTCCCAGAACTGCGCAAGCGCGGTTAGAGTGGAAAGACGTCATATGACGTCCTCCCGGAACGAGAGAACCGCCTTGCGCCCGTCATTACCTTATATGGCGGGCGGGAGGCGGTTAAGGTCATTACACAGCACTTCAATCAGATTAAAGTCCAAACTTTAACTGGGTGACTCCAAAGCCTTATTTTTTTTTTTTTTTAGCCATTCAGGGGTGGATTTTCTGGTGTGTTTTGGATCATTGTCTTGCTGTATAACCAACACGTGATTGAGCATGAGGTCACAAACTGACATTCTCACCAGGATTTTCTGATAGGGCGCAGAATTCATGGTTCCATCAGTTATGGCAAGTTGTCCAGGTCCTGAAGCTGCAATGCAACCACAGACCATCACACTACCACTGCCATGTTTGACCCTTTGGTATGAAGTTCTTTTTATGAAATACTGTGTTAGTTTTATGCCAGATGCAATGGGATGCACACTTTCCAAAAGTTCAACATCAGTCTGCAGAATATTTGCCCAAAAGTCTTGGGGATAATCAAGATGTTTTTTCGCAAATGTGAGACGAACCTGTGTGTTCTTTTGGTCAGCTGTCACTTTCACCTTTGAATTCTCCCATGGATACCATTTTTGCCCAGTCTCTTTCTTATTGTTGTATCATTAACACTGAATTTAACTGAGGCAAGTGAGGCCTGCAGTTCCTTAGATGTTGTTCTGGGTTCTTTTATGACCTCCTATATGAGTTGTCATTGTGCTCTTGGAGTAATTTCGGTACGCTGGGAAGGTTCACCACTGTTCCAGGTTTTCTCCATTTGTGGATAACGGCTTACACCTTGGTTCTTTGGAGTCCCAAAGCCTTAAAAAATTGCTTTATAACCCTTTCCAAACTGATACCTGTCAATTACTTTGTTTCTCATCTGTTCTTGAATTACTTTAGATCCTGACGTGATGCTTTGCTTTTTGCAGACCTGGGTGTGGCAAGTGAAATTTAACTCAGCTTTCCAAAAATGTGGTTAACTACAGTTCATTCATGATTTAGCAAGGGGGGGGGGGGATTTTTCACATAGGGCCAGGCAGGTTTGGACAGCTTTTTTCCCTTAGGAAATCATCATTTAAAAACTGCATTTTGTATTCCCTTGGGCTATTTTTGTGTAATATTACAATTTGTTTGATGATCTGAATCATTTAGGTGTAATAAATATGCAAAAAAGAAAAATCAGGAAGGGGACAAATACGTTTTTCACTTTTGTGTATACTGTGTATATAAAAATTTATAAATATCAAGCTATTTTTTAAGACAGTTAACATAAAATATGATGCTGAATAATTGTGTTTCCAATGCTATATGGGGTACTTCACACAATAAAAAGCTGTTGTATCTAAAATTAACCCTTCACCCACTGCCTCAAAGCTCTTTAAGAGGATCTAAGTGCTGGGAGGCGAAGACAGGCATTCAGATCACGTGACTGCTGTGATTCGCTGTCTCAGCGGTCTCATGATCATAAAGCTCCTGATCGCAAATATGCATTGAGAGCTTTCTGGGAGCACACAGGGGGCATGCTCTCAGCACAGTAAAGTGTTTACATAGAGCTGCACCCAACTCGCCAGGAGGCCACATATATGTAAGGCTGGCAGAAGGAAGTTGAGAAACTATAAGGACCTTTCTGATTGAAAAGTTGTTCTGATTTTGCTGTGATATGCCTTAAAGATGAAGTCTAATGTCACAAATAAACACATTCCCTGAAACCCACTTCCCTTTCTGATCATGAATTAATAAAATTAGTACAGCATTATAATCTCCACTCTTTAAAAATTGAACTGTTTGCTGCCCTAGTGATGTAGTCATAGGCTCCAACAGGTTTCAGTGTTCCTCCTGAGCCTGGTTGTGTGGGAGGAGCCAGAGCAAGGCACACACATCACTGTAGCCTTTTTTCCCCCAAGAGGGCATTTTCATGCTAATTAGGTCTGCCTACACAAGCAGCAAAGAGAGAAAGGCTGGCAAATGAAGGCAACCAGTGGAAGTGAGGGTTTGGCTATATTTGGGCGCTTAGTGCAGCACAGGATATCTCATGATTGGAAACTGCTGGGGGGGAGTTGGACAGTACTAAGGGTAGTTTGGCTTCTTATTGCAGTACTGCAGACAGAAAAGTGTGCAGGAAAGAGGCAAAAGCGAGTATGAACACAAGAGGACACAAGCTGCTTATACCAGAAAGAAAATATAAGGCCAGAATTATGCTTTAATGATGCTATTTCACCAACACCAACCAAAAATGCAGGTAAAATACTGAAAAATAAAGCATTTTTAAAATGCTTAGTGCTGTGTTTTTTATAAACTTTTTTTATTGATTTGCCATGTGTCTCTGCAGCAAATTGCAGTTGATCATCAGGGATGGGACCCTTTGGCTGGGCATCAGGAACAGGACCTACCAGCTGTGCATCAGGAACAGGACCTTGACCCTCAGGTTGGGCATCAGGAACAGGACCACCAGGCTGGGCATCAGGAACCTCTGGCTGGGCATCAGGAAAAAGACCCCCAGGCTGCAGGAACAGGACCCTCCAGCTGGGCATCAGGGACAGGACCACCAGGCTGGGTATCAGGATCAAGACCTCCAGGATGGGCATCAGGACCCTCAATCTGGGCATCAGGAACAGGAAACTCCAGCTGGGCATCAGGAACAAAACCATCAGGCTGGACACCAGTAAAAAGAACTCTCCAGCAGGGCATCAGGAACAGGACCCTCTGGCTTGGCAGTGGACAGCAGGGGACCAGCGGCAGGCTGCACCCCATCGGCAAAAACATAGAGGCATGCTGAACCCCATTGTTAAGAATAGAGGCAGGCTGAACCCCATCAGCAAGCATAGAGGCAGGCGTAACCTCATTGGAAAGCATAGGGGCATGCTGAACCCCATAAATGGGCTGCATGGAGGAGGACTGGGCCCCAATCAGCAGGCAGCAGACCATCTGGCTGAGCAATGGTCAGGGGATCAACAAGGTCAGGTTGATTAGCAAGCAAAGAGTCTATTGAGCCAAACTGGAGAGTGGACAGAGAACTAGTAATACCAGGCTGGAAAGCAGGTAACATATCATTGAAGTTAAACTGGACTGCTGAAACACAGACAGAATGTAGGACTTGGAGAAAAGGATGAGAGCCCCACCTGGCCAAATGAGGCAGTCTGTCCAAAGGATGGATGGAACTTTTTACACAGGTTTGAACAAAGGTAACTGCAATACAGGGTGGCCAGGTTACTGAAAGTCCCAAATATGAAAAAAACAAAAGGCACAGTTGACAAGGGCAGGACCAGAGTAACAGGAATGGTGGTAGGCTGGACTGAATTAGTAGATGTAGAGGCAGACTGGAGCGCATTGGCTGGTGTGGTGGCAGACTGCAGCAGACTGGAACAGAGCAACTGGTGTGGTGACAGGAGTGGATAGTGGCAGAGTTGTGCAAGTTGGAAAAAAACCTGTTTCTTTTTAGGTTTAGATACTGAAGTTTTGCAAGTGATTGCAGGGGTCTGAGCAGGGAGTAGGAGTAGAACTGAGAGAGAATGAAAAGGAAGGAGAAGTTGCTGAGAAGGGCTTCGGAGGGGTTGTCACAGGCAACAAAGTAGAAAGGGAACTCTTCAGTGGATTAATGCAGAGCTGCAGCTAGTAGAAACAGGGTACTGGCATAGAGTTGGAAGCAAGTATACTGGGATGCAACTGTAGTTGCTGTGGGTGACAGAGAGGGGGATACTTGAGAAAACCAGTGTCTAGCAGCAGGAATGGGTTGGTTCAGGCTGACTGAGTGCCATAGATATGACCAGGCTTGTAATAATGGTTAAACAAATATCAGTTTGCACTCCCCTGGTCTGACTTAAGACTGCACTGCATTAACAAGATCCACTACCACCTGTTGGGAACAGGCCAAGTAGTGCTTATAAAAATAGGCATAGTCATCCTCCAATAACCATACAAGTAAAACCACCTGAGCCATACTAAAGTCATCACTACCTTTCAGAATACTGGACAAAGCCAACTCTGCATAGACTTGAATCAAGGGCTGAACATCACAAAACAACATCCTGCCTTGATCAACTAGGGAATGATCAAGGCAAATGCATTTGAACAGCTGATCTTTGGCCCACCCCTTCGCATTTGGTGGCAATATTCCCTTTCCTTTTGTCACTAACAAAGCATATCAATACAACCTCCTCAGGACGCATCTTGCACAAACAATAGCAGAGCCAAAATGGCCTCTTCTGGTCTTTCCTGGTCTTGGTGTTATGTCAGGAATACCAAGTGTTGGTATCCTGTGAAACAGGTGTGACCAGAAATGTGTGGACTTACATAGAGAACACTAGGCATGAGTATGATATAAAATAATGTGGTTTATTAAGGCATAATTCCAGTAAAACAACAATATAACACACATACACCAAGATAATAAAAAACCCCAAGAAACCAGTAAAGCCTAATGGGTGAGAGTGATCACAATAAATAAACTAAACCAGATAACCAAGCTAACTATATACAGGTGGCAGGGTCAGACTCAAGGAGTAGTTAGTATCAGAACCAGAGTCATACATGGAAGGTCAGGCAGAAGGGAGCAGGGAACAAGCCAGGACAGGGAGAGGGTATGTGGGAGAAGGAACAAGTAGGCAACGGAGGGGTCAGGAGCAGTATGCTGGATCAGGATCAGTATGCAGGAGCATGGTAC